TTACTCAATTTTCACTCAATCCCTGTCTTAGTGTAAAATTAATGCTGTAATGAATTTTGTCATCACGTTAAACCAGATCAGTCAAAATCTTCTTCAAATAACTCATCTTCTACTTCATTTTATTTATCTACTGATTTTGTACTTTTTGAAAGCTTTTTGACTCTCATTTTCAACAATTGTAATATACTCAGAACTTGAATATCTTGTAAATAAATGATGTGTTCTGTTTGACCTTTTAACCTGAGGTTCTTAAAAAATCTGAGGTGGAGGGGGGTGCTCCCCCTGTTCAACATTATCATTTACATCTATTGGTACTGGCACATAATTATTTTCATCTCCTTCATTACTAAAATTTCTGATTGTATTAGGAATCAATGCAGAAAAATAAATCTTTTCACTTGTAGTCTTCTCAGATACCTCAAAATTTAGTAGGGTCTTGTGTTCATCAAAGATTACATCTCTCGACCTGATGACTTTTTTCTTCATTGAATCCTATAACCTGTACTCAAACTCTGGATCTCCATAACCAAAAAAAAAATACATGAAATTGTCATATCATCAAACTTCTGTCTTTGCTCCTTAGATACATCTATAAATATCTTGCCGCAAAACACTTTTAAATGAGAATAACTAATATCCTTCCCAGATCATACTCTCTGAGGAATATCAAAATCTAAATGAGCTTATGGAAATCGATTCATTAAGTAGCATGCAGTGTAGAGTGCTTCACCCTAAAATGATTTTGGTATATTAGTCATTTTTAACAAACATCTTACCTTCTTTAGGATGGTTCTATTTATTCTTTCAGAAACACCATTATGTTGAGTATCTAGAACAGTGTTTTCATGTTTTATTCCATTCTATAAATAGTAATTCTCAAATTTTTTTGAAGTATATTCGCCATCATTGTCACTGCACAGACACTTTAAAAGTATTCTTTTTTTTTACCATAACGGAACTACTTGAAACACTGTAGAATATGATCTTTTCTTTTCAAAACAAACACCCAAATTTTTTGTGAAGTATCATCAATAAATATAACAAATTATCTACTACCGCCTAACGATTCCACGTCAATGGAACTATATACATCAGAATAGAGTAACTCAAATACGTTTATTTTTCTTTCGAAAGAATTACTAAAAAAAAATTCTATGTTGCTTACCACATAAATAATAATCACAAAAATTTAAACTCGTATCTTAAAATGAGAGACTTTTTTACCAGAATCTGCAATCTTTTCTCACTCATATGAGCCAACCTCCTATACCATTTAAATGGCAAAACATCTTCTTCTACTACATTTAGAGTATCTCTAATTGTCTTCATTTGAGTCTTATACAGTGTGTGACACAATCTACCCCTTGCAACCACAATTAAACATTTGATGAGTTTTCATTTTCTACCATCAAATGAGTTGTAATAACCATCAAGATCCAGAGCATATGTAGAAATCAGATTTAGGCGTAAATTAGGTACATGTCACACATTTTTCAGAGTCAATATGCAACAAATATCCGTTTACACAAAAATATCACAAATATCTACAATATCTACATAACTGGTATTATTTATCTTTACTCTGTCAAAGTTTCTCACTTTATACATTGTAAAGACATCATTTTTGGGTGTAACATGATAGGATGCTGCTGAATCAACAACCTACTCAGTATCAAGATAAATAACATGATCATGATCTTCAACAAAAGAAAGTACAACCAGTTTTTTATTATTAATTACAGTTATTGTGGTATTCTAATCATCTGTCCTTTTTTGATTATTCTGTTCCTTTTTTTAAATTCTATAGTTTCGTTTCATATTTCTTTCATTACTATAATGATAACAACTGAATTTGCATTTATTATGTTCTTTAGGACCTCTAATTTTGCTTCTACCCTTGCTCTTTTTGACAAGGGCTTATAAGATATCAATGCACATATCCTTCCTTCTGATCTTCTCATTATAGAGATTATTCTTTACCATGAATGAAAACAAACATCATCTGGAGCAGAGTTACTAAGAGACATTACCAAGGTTTTCCAACTATCTGTTAACGAACTCAAAAGTAATAATATATGTATTTCATCATTTAGGGTTAATTTTATAATGTTCAATTGATTTATCAGATCTTGGAACTCACTCAAGTATTCTACTATTGATTGTCCATCTTACAGCTTCAAATTTACCAACTTTCTGATAACAAAACCTTTATTTTGAGTTTTTTTTTCTCTCTCGTACATATCCTCCAATTTTTTCCATAAATCCTGTACATTGACTTCTTTGCTTATGTAGTGATGGATATTGATATCCACCTACTGTTGAATAGTTCCAACAGCTTTCTTGTGCATTTTCTCTCAATCATCTTCTAATTTTCCAGTTGGCTTGACAATTCATAATTTAATAGGATCATATATAAATCTTTACAATAAAGAAGATCTTTCATCCTCATCTTCCAAATTTAATAATTTGAAGCTGCCAGTTTAATTTAGTATATGCGTATTCGTCCATCCTAATTTACACAATTAATTCTGGACTAAAGATCAACCAAGTTTCGATACTATTTGTTGAGTCCCGAACAAAAATAAAATTAATTAACAAAAACTAATAACCATAACTTCAAACCAAATTGATTAACAAAAATAATAAGTAGATAATAATTACAAAATTAAATAGACAGAATTTTATATGAAAAACACTTTAGTGTGAAAAAAAAAAAATTATAGGTCAAGTTTCAAAATAAATTTACTATTAATAAAAATAAATATAAAGTAATCCACTAATAATTAAATTCAGAACAAAAAAAAATAATTTTTTCTTTATGGAGAATTAGAAAAGGAGGTAAATAAAGTCAAATTTAAACTTTACTAAAAAAGGACGAAATTAATGATGTCTATGATAATGTCACCAAAGAAAGAAAATGAAAACCACTTGTTTTTTCTTCTCTTGTCAGCTACTCAACTTATATATATATATATATATATATATATATATATATATATATATATATATATATATAAACCACTTTCTTTTTCTTTTTGCTGCATAGCCTCTCTTTTTTTACATACATATACATATATATATATATATATGAGTTGCATCTCTAATTCCATTTTTTTAAAAAAAATTACTAATTTGCTTTTTTTTTTTTTTTGCCAATTGGCTGAATCTTAACAGTACCCTCCTGCAGAACTCTTGAGAGAGGACCTCATTGGGATTTCCTAATCTATTATGTGTAATCCCTAAATTTGTCTTTGCCTTTTTACTTGTTTGTATTTGTTCTTTTTGTAGCACCCGGGAAAAAAAAAAAGGGGGGGCCACGTCAGCAGCCACGTCAGCAGGCTCGGTCAGCAGTCCCGGCCAACCGGGGCCTGCCACGTGGCAAGACCGCGTCACTCCGAAAGGAGCCACGTTGGCGATCCGCGTGGGTGCGATCCGACGGCCCAGATCAATCGCGCGATCGGACGGTCCAGATTCAATCGCACGGACGGTCCAGATTCAATAAAAAACGAACGGCCCAGATTAAAACGAAATGGACGGCTGAGATCAAAAGGCAAGGGGTTATAAATAGAACCCCCACACCAGACCACAAACCCTAGCCGCCCGCCGCTCACCGGAGAAGACGAACCAGAGGCCGACCGCCGCCACCCGCCGCCGTACCGGAGGAACTTCCGACCGCCGATCGAGGTAAATTTCGTACCCCTGACTCGTTTTTCCACGCTGATTCCTCCTATGGCCAAATCGAGGCCGAAATCCCGGCCAAACGGCCGGAATACGCGACCGAAGCCCAGCGGCGCCGCCGCGCCCCCTCTCGGTTTTTGCCTCCGACGAGGCCCTTCCCGGCCTCCGTTCGATGCAATTTTTATATCACCGTGATCACCATTCTTTTCTCTACAGGTTGACCGGAGCCGAATCACCAAAACACGAACCTCGCCGGAGAGCCGCCGCACCCGAGAGCACCGCCGCCGGTAAGCTCCGTTTTTCCGTGATTTTTTGGCCCCCCGAGGGCCCTGGGGTTGTTTTCTCACAAGGACCGATGCGAGTGTGGTCGAATTCGGCCGAAAACGGCCGAAAACAGCCAACCCGAGGTGACTCGCCGCCGCCAGCGGCGGCGCCGTCGCCGGAACACGGCGGAGCCGCCGTGCCGGAGTTGCGATTTGGGCCGAAAGAGGCCCTGGGCCTAATTTGGGTTTTTTTTGGAACACGTGCAGGTACTGCTAGTGTGTTTCAGTTCCCCGGGAAAAATTCAGGGAAAGTTAGGGACGGCCTGCAGGCGCACTGTGAATCGTAT